CAGACAAAAAAAAAATTGGAACCAGGCGGTGGTGGTGCACACCTTTAATCCCAGCACTCGGGAGGCAGAAGCAGGTGGATCTCTGTGAGTTCGAGGCCAGCCTGGTCTACAGAGAGAGTTCCAGGACAGCCAGGGCTACACAGAGAAACCCTGTCTTTTTTTTTTTTTTTTTTTTAAGATTTATTTATTGTGTATACAGCATATGTGACTGCAGGCCAGAAGAGGGCACCAGATCTCATTACAGATGGTTGTGAGCTACCATGGGGTTGCTGGGAATTGAACTCAGGACCTCTGGAAGTGCTCTTAACCTCTGAGCCACCTCTCCAGCCCCGAATTAACCTGTCTTGAAAAAGAAAAGAAAAGAAAGAAGGGAAAGAGGAAAGAAAGAAATGTGGGAGCCAGCAAGCTGACTCGGCAGTTATAGGTGGGTGCTGCCACCCTGAGCTAGGTCCCTGAGGACTCACATGGTGGAAGGAAAGAACCAAATCTGAGCAGTTGTCCTTACTTCCACGTGCACACTAGGGCACATGTACCCCCCCCCCCACACACACACACACACAAAGTCAGTAAATACAAACACTTTGAAGAAGCACTTTGGGGCCGGGCGGTGGTGGCGCACGCCTTTAATCCCAGCACTCGGGAGGCAGAGGCAGGCGGATCTCTGTGAGTTCAAGGCCAGCCTGGGCTACCAAGTGAGTCCCAGGAAAGGCGCAAAGCTACACAGAGAAACCCTGTCTCGAAAAACAAAAAAAACACACAAAAAAAAGAACTTTGGGAATATATCGAGGGAACAGCTTAGTGGTAGAACACTTTTCCAACATGCATGATGTCGTGGTATCCATCCTCAGCACCCCCCCAAAACAAATTGAACCCTAAAGTATTTTTTAAATATGTATGTAAGTATGTGTGTATGTATATAGATGTGCACACACACAGCAAAACACAGGTGTTAATGTATGATTAGTGTGTAAGTTAATATACGTTGGAAGTTACACGGACGTTTAATAAGGCAAATCATCAAAAAAGACATTCAGGACTGGGTGTGCTAGTGCACGCCTTTAATTTTTTTTTTTGGTTTTTTGAGACAGGGTTTCTCTGTGTAGCTTTGCGCCTTTCCTGGAACTCACTTGGTAGCCCAGGCTGGCCTCGAACTCACAGAGATCCGCCTGCCTCTGCCTCCCGAGTGCTGGGATTAAAGGCATGCGCCACCACCGCCCGGCCACGCCTTTAATCTTAGCACTTAAGAGGCAGAGGCAGGTGGATCTCTGTGAGTTCAAGGTCTACATAGTTCCAAGACAGTCTGGGTTATGTAGAGAGAGACTCTCAAACAAAACATTTTTAAGAAGTATTCAGGATGTGGCAAGGTGGCTCACACCTTTAATCTCAACACTGGGGAGGCCAAGACAGGAAGATGGCCTTGACTTGACTTCCAGGCCAGCATGAGCTACACAATGAAACTTTGCCACAAACCAAGGCACTTAATAGCACAAACAGAAGAGGCCAAACGTAACACACTCTCTAGGCTAAGGATTGGCAGTAGGGAAATAAAGGGTCAAGGCCACAAGGCAGGTGCCTCTGAGGCAGGAGACAGCCCAGCATATACCCAAGGTAACTAACCCCCTGCAGCCCTGTGTATCTAGATCATCAAGTGATTTTTTTTTTCTTTGAAAATATAGACTTCAAGCCAGGCATAGTGGTGCATGCCTTTAATCCCAGCACTTGGGAGGCAGATACAGGCGGATCTCTGAGTTTGAGGCAAGCATGGTCTACATAGTTCCATGATAGCCAGGGCTACACAGAGAAACACTGTCTTTGAAAACAGAACAAAAAAGAAACAAAAATGTAGACTTCTACATGAAATCTCCCAATTCACTAATGATAGCAGCATAGAATTTTCCAGATGTTTTAAGTGTGTGCCTCACAGAAACTGCTAGTTCATTCTTCCTCAGAGGCAAGATCTAGTCATGCAGGTTGGTCAGGGTAAGCCTGGGCCCCAGATTGCCTGGCAGCGGCTACTCTTCATTTCCCTGCTGCAGGAGAGGGTGTGTCACAGGCCTGGATGGCTTCTGTTCAGGGCTGTGTTAGAGGGCCAGGCCTTGTGAGACGGCCCTGAGCATGCCCACCTCCTGCAGTGGAGAGACACTAAAACAGAATGGGCTGCAGAGAGTGGATTACCTCCTTCAGCTACCTTCAAAGGCCAGGAGCCCCCACACTTGCCGGGTACCTTGGTTGTGAGTGCTGGCCAAGAACACTTCCCTCTCACTGTCAAGTGTGGGGACGTCGTCTTCAAGAGACAGACACAGGGAGGGCAAGAACGGCACAGGGCCATAGCCATGAGTCTAGAAACTCTTGGGGTGATCTCGGGCCACCCCTGGATCCGGGACTCTGGCAGGAGAGTAGGAAGGGACACATGGTGGTGACTGCTTCTTGGACAGAGGACCTGTCCCTGAGTGGCAAGCTCTCAGCGGGACTTGGCCACACAGAGCTGAAGTCATGCCCATCCAGCTCTCCTCCCGGCTCGTCCCAGCTCCGGGCCAGTGGCAGGCCTGAGACAGCCTCTGCCGTTTGCTGCCCACAGGACCAGAAGCGGATGGAGAAGATCTCGAAGCGGGTGAATGCCATCGGGGAGGTGAACAACAGCGTGAAGCTGCTGACAGAGATGGTGATGAGCCACAGCCAGGGTGCCACCGCCAGCAGCAGTGAGGACCTCATGAAGGTGGGCCTGCTCCTGGCCGCTCCCAGCCTGGCCCCAAGCCCCCGGAGAACCCTTGTTCACTCACCCTGTCCCCCTAGGAACTGTACCAGCGCTGTGAGCGCATGCGGCCCACACTCTTCCGACTGGCCAGTGACACAGAAGACAATGATGAGGCCTTAGGTGAGTCCCGGGCTGCTGAGATCAGGCCCAGCCCTGTCTCCCCACCCCCCCCCACCTTCCTCCCTCAGGCCCTGATAGACACCCGCCCGCAGTTGGAAGGAGCCACCAGGAGGGGGCTCCCTTTCCCCAGCCCTGACCTGAGAAGGCTGCAGAGACTGCTATGGCGGACTCCATGAACAAGGTCCTGAGCAAGCATCTCATCTCCTGCCCAGGAGGGGGAGCGCTCCCCATTTCCCAGTGGGGGTTCAACACGTGAAATGCCTGGCTCAGGTCTCAGAGCACCAGTGTGGCAGACCATCCCGTCTCATCCACTCAGGCCTCCATCACCTCCTTGTCTCACTCTCTTCCCTGCCTGGCTGTCCCTTGGACGTTCTGAGTACATTTCCACCTCCAAGCTTCTATGCTTGCTCAGCTGTCTGGACCCCATAGATGCAGTGGGATGGGCGCCCTTCCCCTTCATATACCCTTTGGAGCTGGGTGGTGGTGGTGTACACCTTTAATCCTAGCACTTGGGAGGCAGAGGCAGGTGGATCTCAGTCAGCCTGGTTTACAAATCGAGTTCCAGGGCAGCCAGGACTGTTGCACAGAGAAACACTGTCTTGAAAAAAAAAAAAAAATCCTGGGTGAATGACATTTGGGGTTGGTTATTTAGCTCAGTGGTAGAGTACTCCTGGGTTCGGTCCTCAGCTCCGGAAAAAAAAATACCCTTTGAGGTGAATGTGGAGGCTCTTCTCCCCTATCCAGAGACCCCACTCCTTTAACTGGCCTCTCCCCTCCTTCTTGTTCCAGCTGAGATCCTGCAGGCTAACGACAATCTCACCCAGGTGATCAACCTGTACAAGCAGCTGGTCCAGGGTGAGGAGGTCAATGGCGATGCCACGGCCAGCTCCATTCCTGGTGAGAAGAGAGCAGGAGTGCTGTGGGGGGCCCAGAGTGCAGGGCGGCATGACCTTCAGTGTGACCTTGGCCCCTTAAGACCGTGAAGGTCCCGAGAAGGGAGTTAGGCATTCTGTGGCAAGCCTAAAGGTGTTGGGGAAGAAAGCCCGGGTTTGTCCCGGAGCAGAAGGAAGGAGGTTTTTCTTTGATCTGGTGTATCTGGCTCCAGATGTGCAGAGCTGGATCATACCCTAGGCCTGATTGGACTACCAGAGACAAGGAAAGGGCTTTAGACACAGACGTGCAGACCCCTCAGGGAAAATGGCAGCGTGGTATGTGGGGCTGGGGGACAGGAGAGGTGAGTGGTGAGTGGCCCTTGGAGAGTGGGAGGACCTCTCAGAGGTGTGAGAGCAGGAGTGATCTCCTAAGGCTGTCCCAGAGGGACACCTCAGCTATCGTAGTTGGTATCACTGTGTAGTCACACTAATGCCACATTTCTGACATGTCCCTCACCCTAAAGCTGACTACATTCTAAACACAAGTGCCATCTGCTAAAGAAAGGGCCAGGAGGCCTGTGGTGCAGAGTGGAGGAGGGAGATTGCTGTCCCACCCCTGAGGTTCGGAGTGGCCCCCAGGACCTGCCCAACTCTCCTTTCCACTCAGGGAGTACCTCAGCCTTGCTGGACCTCTCAGGCCTGGACCTCCCTCCCTCGGGCACCACATACCCAGCCACGCCCACCCACCCTGGCAACCAGAGCAGTCCAGAGCAGCCCAGTGCCTCGGTGTCCCTGCTGGATGACGAGCTCATGTCTCTGGGTAAGGAAGAGGACGGGGCAGGGGCAGCCTGCGGGCATCAGCTCTGCCTTCCTGTCCTGAGTGAAGCCAGGGCTCCTGGCGACTCCAGGTCAGCCTGGCAGAAGCGGGGGATTGCTGGAGTGCGGCTGCTCTGGGGAAGGATCAGCAGCTTCTCCAAACAGGAAGGACAGGATTTAGTAAGATCCACTTGGAGTGAGGAACATTAAAAGTGTAAGCAGTGAACACTGTTTTCTTTAGGCTTTTTGGTTTGTTGGGTGGTTGGTTGGGTTTTTTGTTTGTTTTGTCTTTTTTGAGATGGTTTCTGTGTAGTCCTGACTGTCCTGGAACTCACTCTGTAGCCCAGGCTGGCCTCCAACTCAGAGATCCACCTGCCTCTGCCTCCCAGTGCTGGAACTAAAGGCATGTACCACCACACCCAGCCTTCTCTGTGGTCTTTTTTTTTTTCTTTGTGAGCAGGCTTTATTTGAAATATTTTTTTCAAGAACCATCACTACTCCTCAGGACAGGGGCAAAGATCACCCTCTGCAGAACCTTGGGAACTGCACACAGAACTGTGCAGAGGCAACATCCCAGCTGAAGCTGGGGGCTGCCCGGGGTGGAGGGGTGGGGTGGAGGTTCAGGCAAGGAGAGGGGTCAACTTCAGCTGCCACCAGGGTAGTATCTCGTGGTCCGAGACAGCAGGCTGTCCTTGGGAAGTTGGAGTACACCACAGGAATTCCATTATCTGGCTAACACCCCTGGCTGAGGGGCCATCAAATCAGTGTCACTCAGGTTCCTGGCCAGCCAAACTCCGGAGGCAAAGAGTCCTAAATTGAGGATCAAGTTCCTCCGGAAGTCGTTCCAATCGGTGGTGAAGCGGTAGATGCCGCGGAGCCAGTCTCCAAAGGCGCTCACCGTCACCCCACTAGAAGCCATGACAGCACTGAGCACCTCCCTCTGGGGTCGTCAAGGACCACCATAGGGAGACCTGACAGTTGCTGGTCCCCTGCCTGCTGGAGAGCACCTGCTGAAAACGGGTCTCTCATCTTCTCTAAGTCAAATACAGGGGACGCTTGGCTGAGGTGTTCAGGACAGACAGGGCTCATGCTGGTTTCCTGCCAGCCAGGGCCACTCCTCAGGGCCCTCCAGCACCAATCAGTTGGCCTTATTGACTAATGCCAGAGTCTTCAGTCTACCTGATCCACCTTGCCATGGTCCACACGGACACAGGTTCACCCAGGATAGCACTTGCCCACAGATGCTCACCTGGACCCGTGAGCTCAGGCTGTCCTCTCCTCCTCACGACCTCAGCTCCCACTCTTAGCTGCTGAGGGGCAGAGGTGAAAGTTCCAACTTCTGCCCATAAGTTGGCTTCTGTGGGGCCTTGCGGGGAAGAGAGGAAGCAAGTGTGGGCTGCAGGATGGCTCTTGGGACAATGGTTTCTATTTTTGCTCTGCCACTGGTTCCCTCTGAGAAGTGTGAGTTCCACTCGTGAGCCTCTGAGAAAGGGAAGAATCCAGGGATCCCCAGGCCAGCCCCTGGGTAGCTTGTAGCTTACCAGGCCAGCCCCTGTCTTGTTTTCTCTACAGGCCTAAGTGACCCCACACCACCTTCAGGCCCCAGCTCCGACAGCGTGGGATGGAACAGCTTCCAGGTAAGAGTGCTGGAGCTGGTTCAGCCTAGGACAGACCCGGGGTCAGGGAGGCTGGGGTCAGGAACCTGAGGTGACAGCCAGCCAGCTGGGTATGGGCAAGGCTCCCTGGAGCAGGGCAATTCCACCCTAGGGAAGAGCCCAACAGTCTCTTCTAACCTCAGCAGAGGTGCCTGGGCCTCAGCCTGTGGTCCCCCAACAGGACCACAGCCATGCCTTCAAGGTTAAGCTCGGGGGGCTCTTCTTCCCTTAAAGGTGACGTGGGGGTGCCCTGAGCATGCAGCTCCAGCCAGGCCCAGTGTTCTGCCTCATGACCAAGTGGTCTGTTGTCCTCCCTGCTTCAGTTGTTCCGTTGTCACCTGCGGGGAGGGGACGGCCGCAGGGCCCAGGTGGTGACCAGAGCACTGTAGAGTCTCACCCTGTCTCCTTCGCCCACAGTCCTCAGATGGCGCTGAACTCTCAGTCCCTCCTCCAGCCCAGACCCCCAGCATGGACTGCCGACCCCCAGCACAGGCACCCCCACCAACGAGCAGCGGCGGCCTGGATGACCTGGACCTCTTGGGGAAAACCCTCCTGCAACAGGCACTGCCCCCGGAAGCCCAGCAAGTGCGGTGGTGAGGGCTGCTATTGCCAGGGCCCCTGTCCCCACCAGCCAGCAGGGAATCGTCAATCACTGCAGCTCCTGGGAGCCCAGCATGTTGGCTTACCCACTGTGACAAGGGTTTCACACCACAGAGTTGATGAGAATGGGGCCCGGTGGTGCCCACCAACATGCCCCCTAGAGAAGAGAGGGGGTGGGTTAGCATGGGAGGAGGCTGAGGCCAAGGTGCTCTCGCTGCAGGTGAGGATGCCCAAGGCTAGAGCCACTGACCTGCGGGCACAGAGCTGGGTCGCCCAGTCCTTCCCGGGCCCTAACAAGACCACCAGGAAACCAGTTGCTAATGCACTGTTCCCATTAAGGGAGAAGCAGCAGCCAGCCCCCCGGCTCACTCTCCGTGACCTGCAGAGTAAGAGCAGCTGCAGCTCACCCAGTCCAGGAGTCACCAGCCTCCTCCACACCACGTCCCCAGAGCCCTCTGGGCCTCCACCACAGCCAGCACCCACCGAGCTCTCCTTAGCCAACATCACTGTGCCCCTGGAGTCCATCAAACCCAGTGAGTGGGAATAGGTGGGGTGGGAGGGCCAAGCCAGGTTAGCTCTGGTCCCCAGGGCCTGCCACTGCTGACTCCAATGCAACCTGCACAAGGCCTCCCCATCCTATAGTGATGCAAGGCTGCTCTCTAATCTCTGAGTCACACAGGAGGGGACTTTTGTTGTTGTTGTTTTCGAGACAGGGTTTCTCTGTGTAGCTTTGGAGACTATGCTGGAACTCACTCTGTAGCCCAGGCTGGCCTCGAACTCACAGAGATCTGCCTGGCTCTTCGTCCCGAATGGACTCTGACCCCCTCCTTCATAGAGAAGGCAGGGGCTAGAACTAGAAGGTTCTGTAAGATTATAAAACCAAGCCTCAAAGAAAGACCCAGGCCTGGGCCCTCGGCGTTTCTGACTCGGCCTGAGCCGACAACTCGCCAGGCTGCAATGATGTTCTCAGAAGCTGTGACCAAGGGCAGCACCCCTTCTCCATCCTCCTTCCCAGAACTGACCCTGAGCCCAAAGAGTGTGTGACCCAGACTTTGACCAGAGCCCTTGACTCCAGCCTGGGAGGGAACCTGGCTGTGACTTGGCTCTAGGGTGGGTGTCCTGCCTCCACCATATGATCCCACTGTGCCTTCAGGCCCAGTGGAGGCCAGACCCTGGGTGAGAGGCGGATAGGTATGTTCTGGGTCACCCATTCATCACCCTCCAACCCTTCTCCCAACAGGCAGCATCTTGCCGGTGACAGTTTATGACCAGCATGGCTTCCGTGTCCTCTTCCACTTTGCTCGGGACCCACTGCCAGGGCGCTCTGACGTGCTGGTGGTGGTGGTCTCCATGCTGAGCACTGCCCCCCAGCCCATCCGCAACATTATTTTCCAGTCGGCTGTCCCTAAGGTGACAGGGCAGACCAGACAGGTCTTCCTCCCTCAAGGCAGGGTGACCTGGGACTCGATGGGCAGCTCGCTGGCTGGGCATGGTCAGGGGACAGGATCTCCCTCACTGGGGAGCTGGGGGAGGGGCAGTGGGAAGCCAGAGGAGAGATCCCTAAGACCCTGGGAGGGAGCTGGTTCCTCATCAGTGGCCGCCTGACCAGCTAGCGATACACCTCCTACCCTCAGGTCATGAAGGTGAGGCTGCAGCCTCCTTCGGGCACAGAGCTGCCAGCATTTAACCCCATCGTCCACCCCTCAGCCATCACCCAGGTCCTGCTCCTTGCCAACCCCCAGAAGGTGAGGGCCCAGCTGTGACAGGGCAGTGCCCCGGGGTGGTGCTGACCTCTTTTTCCTGCGCTAACCTCTGCTTCTGCCATTTGTGCCCCAGGAGAAGGTTCGCCTTCGCTACAAGCTCATCTTCACCATGGGCGACCAGACCTACAACGAGATGGGAGATGTGGATCAGTTCCCCCCTCCAGAAACCTGGGGGAGCCTCTAGGACAGGGGGGCTGGAGAGAGGAGGGCAGCAGGACCTAGTCCTGCACAGCCTGGGGCTTCTCTCCTTCCTGTGGCCCCCAGTGACTCTTCCCTCTCCCTCGGCCTCTTCTCCTGCTGAGCCAAACCCGGCAGGAGGCTGGGCCTGGGTTTGCCATAGCTACTGGGATCCCCTCACCAGTGGGGGCCTGGAACAGGGAGGGGCCGTACGCCCTGAAAAGACTCTCGGGAGTGAGGGAAGAAGCATGGCTGTTCGGCCCGGCCCTGACCCCAGCCTGAGGTGGGGTCTTCCCCACCTGTCTTTTATGCCTTACGGAAAGGCCCAGCCATAACTTGGAGGCCATGCTGGAGCTGGGACCAGCCCAGGCCTCCTCTGTGGGAACCCAGTGACTGGGGGTAATGCCCATGCCCTAGCTGTTTGCACTTGGTGTGTGGTTTGGCTCTTTGCTTTTCTTTTGGAATGGCTCTGTGGTCACAGAGCTGAAGGAGCTCCACTCAGCTCCTGTCCCTCTGGAGGCCTCCCTCTGCTCTCAGGCCTCCTACCATGGGAACTTGAAAGCAAAGCCAGAGGACCTGCCTCCCTGGAGGGCCATGGAACTCCCAGAGTTCCATGCTTCATTCATCAGCTTCTGCTGGGGCCTTCTGTGAGCACCTCACATCTGTCCACCCATCTGTGGTCAAAAGTAGGGTCAGTGTGGGTGAGAGCGGGAGTATTTATGAAAATAAAATGACCTTTTCCTGGAGTAGCCGTTCTTGTGAGATTGAGGGAGGCAGGGGAGATCCAGGAATTGGGGGCCTAAGGACTGTGCTATAGTCCTATCCCCATCTCCCACCCATTCTAATTCCTCAGTTCTGCACCAAAGAGGCCCTACTGGGGACCTGTGGCTGCTACTGAGTCACTCAAGAAGCATTGGTCTGTGGTGACCCAGCACAGTCCCAGCTGGAGATGAGGAGGTCACTAAGGGGTTCCTCCGCTGCAGCAGCTGAAGGGAAGCCCTGGCTCCTCACTTCCTCCTGCCGCACCCTGCAGATTCTCCGATGGGCTCCTCCCAGCCCCAGGTGCTGCTCTGGGAAACAGCTCCAACAGCAGATGCGTCAGGCCCACCCCAGGAGCCCTGCACCATACCCACTCCAGCCATCCTCACCTCGGCCTGGTGTGATAAAGGGCTGTGCCCAAGCAGGGTGCGAAAGCCACACAGCTAGGAAAATCTGCCAGTGGGGTGCAGTGAGGAGCTGGCTTCGAGCCCCACAAACTGCAGGAAGAGAGCCCCTGGGCGGGGGGGGGGGGGGGGGGGGGGGGGGGGGCCGGGCGGCCCACCCTCGGTCCCTGAGCAGCTGTACTGTCACAGGCTCCAGGAAGCCCCACATGTGAGAAAACACTTTCACTCTGTCTCATCTGGCAGTTCCTGATCTGCAGTTGGCTACTAAAACCCTTTCTGCAGATCCGGTGAAGCCCTTCTGCAAATGATAAAGCTCTGTGAGTCCCCGGGCGAGGAACTCCTGGCGGGACCACACTGCACACAGAGTGCAGGCATCTCGGGTGGACTGTACAGCAGATGACCGGAGGCACCAGTCCCTCTCAGCCCCCCTCCAACCAGACTCCACTGCATGACTCACACCTGACAGAGCTGATGGCCTGTCCCAGCACCTGCCCTGGCTGAAAAGTTCCCACCTGGGGCCTCAGACTTGTCTCCAGTATAATCTTGTTAGATGGCCCCTGAATGGGTGAGGGGAGGCATGAGATCGTGGGACCATGAATTTGGGAGTTCCATGAATTGGTGTGCTGGTTCCTTGCTCTCCCTTTCTAGGTTCCTTGTTTAAAAGGGTCACAGGGTGGGGACCCAGAGAGCCAGTAAGGCCCCTTTGAGGGATCTGTAGGCCCAAGAGCCCAGGCTGCCATATAAGAGGTACCCCTTCAGTTTCCCAACCCAACCCTACCTCTGGCTAAAGTGGCAATTAATGAGGCAATTCCACATAGTTTAGTAGTCAAAAGGGGTTTGTTTTGAGTTAACTTACAACAAGCAAAGGGAGTTGGTTACAGGATCCAGGAGAGGTGAGGCCCGGTCCAACGTGGTTCTCTGGAGAACTCGGATTTGGTCCGTAGTACCAGCATCCAGCATCTGGGATCATGAGGTAGCCAAGAGGGAGCAAGCACTGAAACATTTCAGGTCTAACGGTCATTGTCTCGGACACGCCCCGGACGGGGGCAGGTACCTAGTAGTCACCTGCTGCCTGCCTGCTAGGGGTGGTGCTTCAGGGGTTGAAGCACAGATAACCTCTCCTACGTCTGGCCTCGCCCATCTATGAGCAAATCTCTGGAGCACTCCCATGCAGGTATGACCCATCTCAAAACCCGGTAGGAACTTAGGAGACTGGAACCTAGCACGGCACTCTCAGGAAGTGGGGGACAAGGGACATCCCTGGAAGTGTGCATCTGTCTTAGCATGGGCACCGTGGGAAGTATCTTCTCTGTCTTTTAAAAGATGAACCCCATCACCACACCAGGGCAGCGGGACTTCCCAGACCTCACAGCCACACTTCCACTTCTGGGACACCGGCCAGAGCCAGCAGTTCACTCTTTAGTAACCACAGGCTGCTCATCTTTTAGCAGAATCCAAGAGTGATGGAGAGCCTCTGCTACCCTGGGCCACCCTCTGTGGCCTCCACCCCCCAGGGCAGTGGAGAGGAGCCACCCACCTTGGCATGCTGCTGGGCCTGCCGCCTGCAGCCTCCCCCTCCCCCTGCCTTTGAGTCCTCAGAACTGCCCTGTGAGCGGGAGACTGTCCCAGCAGTCTAGAGGAAGGGGTCTAGATGGTAGATTGTCGCAGGCACCCGGGCCTGCCTTCCAGCTCTGACACCTGGCCTCCTTTGCTCCCAGCTGGGGTCAAGAGCACACATTGCTCCAGGGCTAGCAGTATCAGGAGTCCCACCTCAGCCCCACCCCAGGGTTCCTGGAAAGGCTTTCAACTTGTGGGAGTGGGGGTGGGCAAGGGAGTTACCGTAGCCCCAGGAAACACACCTGCGCCGGCTGCCGTGGGCAGGAGCCCCTACTTGGAGGCTTTCTAGTATTGCCACAATCCAGCCATGTGGCAGAGTGTCTCAGTCGGTATGATAAAGCCAACAGCCTCCACCCCAGCCCGCCCACTGGCTGCCCTGACCACATCCGCTCAAGTCTCACTAGCAGATGCCAGCCAGACTGTCAGGGATGGCAGGCAAATCTGGGGGAAGGCTGGTCAGTCCCTCTGTGGCCACAGTGAAGGCAGGAGCAGAGGCCAGCCTCGAGGGAGTTTCCAGGCAATACCATGTACGCAGCAGCAATGGCTCCTAGGCCTTAGGTCTGTCTTCTGACCCGGCCTCTACTGCATAGCCAACTAGTGTGCACATCTGGTCTGGCCTGGGTCTGCACATCTGCCAAATGGAG